TCAACACCAAATCATGTTTCGAGCAGGAGTGGCACGGTGCATGGATTACTGCTGATTACCCTCCTTTCAGTAGATCAAACAGTAAATCGACCGGATAAGGAAAGCAAACTAAAGCAGACTGGTTCCTGTGCCAGAAGACCACAGAATAGCTTATGAAAAACAACATTGCCAGCAGATGACAAAAAAAAAACTGGTTGAAAAGCTACCTTTTCCCAGGAATGTCAGCCAGGAAAGCATTTGAGCCACAAGATGGTTAGAAAACTGGAAACTTCTTCCGATGCCGCTGGCACAGAGCCATCGTGGTTGCCTGAGGGAATGTGTCATCCTGAGACCCTAACCATCAATGTGACTAGCTGCCAGTAGAAGCTATGGCTCTCTCAGGAACGCGGCGGCGTCGGGCGCGCGCGTTGCGGCGGTCGCTTGGCGATGGTGCCGGATGCCGGCGGTGTTTTGCGAATATCGTGAGGATGTTTCCGTTTCTTTTTTTTTTTTTTGTACGCCGCATGGGCCGGCACCTGTGCGCGGACGAAGCCAATACTGTGTCTGAATGAACGGTGCTGTTGAGTCGTGTTGAATAAACTATTTTAATGTGAAAAAAAAGAAGCCATGGCTCTAGGCCGCGGTGCCGCGGGGTAAAAGGGACCCGCTCACTCACATTTTTTTAGTAAGCATCGGAGCAAAAAAGTAATTTTTACATGGCATGCTTGAAACACGAACCGTTTAAAAAGAAATTTACCGAACACCATGAAAATCGCACCATTTACTGAAAATGTGTGCCGCATTGACTATTCGAAGTTTCAATGTTGTATCTTTATCACTTTCTGAGAAATATTGATTTAAAGTTGGGAACGTTTTTTCTGGGCCATCCGGTATACAAGTGCTGCTGATCATAGTACTCCTAGCTCGCACTAATAGTTGAGACGTTTCAAGCCCCCTGAACATCACATCACGAAAAAAAAATCAGGCATCAGCCTCTTGTCACTGAGTCACATTTGTACTAATATACATCTTGCACACTAATCACATGTAGGTAACATAAGTAAAATTTATAAACAAAACACTGTTCTTTAACATAAGATGACAAACAAACAGAACGGTTTAGTAGGAGGTGTGGCCGACCGGCGTTGACCGGTTTTGCATCACCGGTCACCGCCGCGGCCGCTGCCTCGGAGCACTGCTCCAGCCGCGCTGCCTCATCGAGGCCACCAGGCTCCGGAAGTAGCCGGGGCGGCGGCGGAGCTCCTCCCAGTTCGCCAAGACGGCGGCCCAGAGCTCGTCCTGGTTGAGCTGCCGGGCCGGCTGGAGCAGCTCCTCCTCCAGCTCATGAACCATTAGAGACCACACATTTTCGATAGAGTTCAGGTCTGGGCTCATTGAGGGCCCTGGGCCAGGGGATGGCACGAACCTGCGAACAAAACCATGTTTGCTACTCACTGTAACGTGATATAGGTTGACACATCGGTCATGACTATGAAGCTGTATGGTGCAACGAATAACACCTGTTGGAAAGTGTTTGATCATTACTGATCAATTTTTTAAGGCATCTTAAGAACTTTTTAAATAATTGTTTAAGTTATCTCAATAAGTTTATAACAGGCGGGGACGAGGCGACCAGGGGCAAAGCGGCCTCCCGCACATAGCCGTAGGCCTCGCCTCCTCTAATTGGGATGCATTGCTGTTGGAGTGAAAATGAATAAACAGATAAATAAATAAACAGCATCTCAAGATTTTTTAAATAATGCCATCAGGTCACCGGTCACTTAGCTAAACCATACCACAACTTAAGGCCGCCCCACACTGGACCTCGCATGCGGGTTTTGAGTTTGCGGGCATAATACTAACTCATAGAGTAATTAGACCGTACCCTCATGGTCACTTCATGAATGCTGTGAAGCCGGTACACCTTCAGAAAACTACATATAGTCGCAATACCAGCATTAACGAACCAAAATTCGACTCCAGCGAAAAACCCGCAAACCTCGTAGAGCCTGCAGACCTCGCAGCGAGGAAAATCGAAAGTTGACTCAAAATCAACTTTTGGAATGCGATGCAAGGTAGCTCGGAAGCTAAAAACATGCAGACTCGCTTGTTAGATAGTAGTGTGGGTCGCTCAGCTAGATTGTATTATTTGATTTTGAAGAAACCCGAAAACCCAAAAACTCGCAACCCGCATGCGAGGTCCAGTGTGGGGCAGCCTTTAGAGTTAGCAGCCATGATAGGTTTATGATGCCACTTACTGAGTCTGCGTGGTCTTTGAACCACTGCTCGACTGCCCTCGCTGTGTGGATATGGGGCGTTGTCTTGCATTGGAGTCCAGGGTCGCTCCTCGTCGGGGTGCATTTCCTCCACGGAGGGCAAAAAACACCTGCCGAAGTAGTGAAGACATATTTAACAACAATGAAAAAATGCACATGTTCACAAGGGTATACAGTCAACTCAACCAGTGACAACTTAACCAACGTGGTTTGTGACAATAGAGCCAATGCATTTAGCACACTGGTTGAGTTGTCACTGGTTGTCACTGGTTGAAATGTCGCTGGTTGAGTTATCACTGGTTGAGTTGTCAATGGTTGAGTTGTCACTGGTTCAGTTGTCACTGGTTGAGTAGTTGTCACTGGTTTGACCTGCTTGAAATGCCACTGGTGGAATTGACATGGAACCGTTTGCAAGAGTGCGGGGAAGACGGCGTGCTGGGCAAAAACGATATCTACCTGGATATGACTTGTGCAATCGAACGTTTACTGGCATTTGACCTGTTACACAAAGACCATAAAACGTTTATCTTAGGTTCTGTCTCTTTAGACACCCAGAGGGCAGGAAACCGCCAACCATTGTTCAGTTGGTTCAATTTTTTATGTGCTCTGATTTTGTCTCACAAACTTTACAAGCATTCAACATGAACATAAAATGTTTGAGCTGTGGCTCTTTCGACATTAAGCGAGATCCGAAAAAAATTACTCGCTATTATTATCAATCCTATCTTGAAGTAAATAGATTGACACTTTTCTAATTTGAAAATGTTTGAAAAAGACCTGTGGTCGAAATAAATATTACATTCTGTCAAGTAAAATATATTTTTGTACAGCATTAGTTTTGGTAATTATCGAGGAAAAAAGGTCAGGTTTTTACATGTTCTACTATTTATAAACAAGTTCCTCGTACAAGCACTAACCTCATTAAATAGTTTGACACGTTTAATCAATTAGACATGCTGTTTAATCGACATATTATCATTATATGCCGGCCCGATTAGTCATTATGGCCCGATATTATCATTATGCTGGCCCGATTAGTCATCTGATACTACACGCTCGTCTTGACCTAGAAATGCAAAGACAACAGCAACAAATAATAAAAGAAAAGTACGAACCTCCACCATGCGCCTGTCTTCCTCCTCCGTCGTCTTCCATTTTCTTCCACACTTATCATAGCGCGCTTTCAAACCCCTTTCCCCTTCCTGCTCATAACGGTGTTTCCACAGTCTGGAAGTAGTTAGAGCTACACAGAGAATCTCTGCCGCCTGCTTGACACAGTGACCTTGATCGAAAAGCAAGGTGAGCCTGCCCTTGTCAAGACCACTGAGGTGTGCCATCACGCTCACGTTGACGTCTAGCCGCACACACTCCACGCGGGCTGCGGCCGCATACTGCGGCTCTCCTTCCCCGGCTTTCCGCCCCACTCGGAACAGAAACAGCCAGGTCATGTCATTCCGTGACCCTCATAGGATACTGTGCCGCATCACACTAATCGGTACACTCTCTGACACACCAGGCCTGCCCCGCTGTGGCCCAGCCTCGGTCCCGGTATGAGCGCGGATTCTGCGCTCAATAGTACATCCAATGACGATCTATAGGTAATAGGTAGGTATACAATATACATATATAGGTACTTTAGGTATGTACTTAGCACAGATCGTTGAAAGTCTATATGAAAACACACTCCACACTGAACTCCGACTCCATCAGACTTTTCATAAGCTTGATCAGAGGCAAGCAGCAACCCTGAATTATGTATGCAGGCATGAGGCATTCGCATAAAGACGTTCTTACTGAATAGATTGCCATGTGCCGAACTCTCTGTCAGTCGCTATAAATGTAGGTACTCTATATAGACGCTAGAAGTCTGCCAAAGACAATGGGTGACTGACGAGAAGCCCTAAAGATGGAAAAATGCTTCATTTTATGACTGCCTTTATGGTGAGAAGTGAAAATTCAATTCTAGTTACCGGTAATCCAGTTCCTGGTTGGCTTACCGAGAATGGTGGAATCGCGAAAAGCCAGCATGTCAGCCTGCATACCAAAGTCCGGTTGACAGGATGACCTCTCCAGTCTCCTCATCCACGTCAGAGATAGCAAAACGGGATGTCCCGAGGATTAAAACGATGCATGTGACGTGCCGCTACATTCGATGGAAGTCTAGCAGCATTGTAGCTATTCAATGTTCATAACCTCGTACCTATTCCTACCCTAGCGAATGGTTCAGCATTCATGAATTCCAGGCAGTCACGCTACTATTGAATTTGTAAGCAGCGAGCTGAGACAGTTTTCAAGTTGGTTGCGATACGTTCAGATCGCGGACAGCATAGTATGTATTCGTAGCGACTGTGTTACGTCAAGGTTAAAAGCTATAGGCATAAGGCCACCATGCGCCAGTCGGCATTCACTGGGGGGGGGGGGGAGGGGGCAGGGAAACTTGTGTCCACAACACGATAGATGGTTTCCCAAGTCTTACCGGTAATCATAAGTTGTGTGACCTAGCACAAAACCCAAATGTTGAAATCAAAGTCGTTCATTTTCTATACAAATATGTCTTGACAACACGGGTCAAACACGCATGACAACACGGGTCAAACACGCAAACCATCTCAACAACTCTCATTTCAGCTTTCGCCAAGCCCCAAATTGACCGCAGAATCACGCGTACTTTCTCTTTTCACCCACCTCCCGTTATATCCGCTGCCGCAAACTCCATCCCCATGCGCCCACCCATGTAACACTCACCCCGTAGGCGGGCGGAAGGTCCATCTCTGGCGCGTGCCGAACCGCGTACTGTCGTAAGTGTGGCCGGCTGTCGGTGCCTGGTGCGCTCACCGCCGCTGCTGGTGAAGATCTGCCGCAGGTAGCTACCCGTCTGCCGGCGCTCCTATGTCGGCCCGGTGCGGCCGCGCGCCGCAGGCTCCGCCCCCGGCCCTCCTCACCCTCCCCTCCCCTCCCCGCTGACCGTCACCCCCGCGCGGCGCCCGGGCACGCACGATGACGTCACTGACTGGATGGACGAGACTCACTCTTGTCTGCCCAGTAGACTGCAGAGTGCAAAGTGCAGACTAAAGGGATGCGTCATTCTGTTGTGGTCACGGCGGTGACTGGATTTGCCGGTGTGCGGAGAGGGGATTGGTATTAGGAATGGTGGCTTTTGTGCGGAAAACGGCGAGCAATTCGGAGTCATTGCTATGCTTCCTGATTATTAGTCATATCAAGTTATGTAAGCAGCATGATAAATGCCTACTTACAAATTAAATCTTGCAACATAAAATATGGTAGGTACCTATGGTGACTAGTCGGCCTCGAATGAACAGCATCAAGTGCAATTCAAATTCATCTTGAAGTATTGGAACAAGAAAATGTCACCCATGGGCAAACATCATTTACGAATATAATAATAACAATCGTTATATAAAATTTACAGGCCAAGGTTAAAATGGATCGGAAAGCTGGAAGAATATAGTGTAGCAATTTTGCAGGACCGTGGCACAATGATCATCATGGGGTTGCGTCATTCCCACAAACGGCTCCGGTGTCCCATGAACTAAGTTAAGATGTAACTAGATAGCCTTTCGGTCTTTCGCCAACTTTTGTTGTAGGTACATAGGTGCAGACTAATTAATTACTAACCGTGGCCAACCGGTCATTTGGCTCCGATCAGCTTTTCTGACTATTGATGTTGAGTGGCATTATTTTGACGAACTGATAATATTGACATATAAGAAGATGAGTTGAAACCCCTATCTGTTTCTATATATATAGACATTAGGCAATACAGCATGCGACCATCAATACCATTTGTGCATTGGCTTCATTTCTACTGAATGCGAACATCCTGCAATATATATCAGCTTTAACCCATTGAACCTTTCCCTAGTAACTCGTAGATGTAGAGCATTGCTCACAGCTCTCAGGATTGTTATTTTTTACATTCAACGATACATCATATCGTGCAAGCAGTCTGAAATTGGTAGCACACTCGCCGAATAATTACCTGGTGCCTTCGCGAACATTCCGCGGCGCTCGTCACAATGCACACTCATCGTTTTCCATTTATGGAGTTTGGGTGCACGGTATGAGGTAAACTGGAGCCATATGTAGTACCGACCACCCTAAACGGCTAAACCCTTCACCTCAACGTGGTGCGTAAGTAAATAGCCCGTGAGTCATAAAATAACAGTGATATAAATAATGTCTGAAGTGAATGCAGCTGCCGTAGAAGCCGTGGCCGGCTGATTTGTACCCAATAACACTTGAAGAATAAGCGAATTCTGGGATGATAATCACACAATATATTCAAATAGAAATAATTTTGTATCAACCGGTTCGGCTGATGAGAGTGGTTCGGCCAATTCAGTCCAATTAAGATCAAGTCAATGACTTATTTTAGACAATGGCACGACTACGAGCCTGCATCGTCACTGGATTTGTGCGAAAATATTATTTTGGGCTGGAGAGTAGTTCGCACGGTATATATATATATATATATATATATATATATATATATATATATATATATATATATATATATATATATATATATATATATATATACATTTATGCGATGCTGAATTTCTTTTTTTTTGTAGCTGGCTGCATTATACGCTAGCCACGTCACAACTGAAAAATAGGTATGTCCTTACCATCATTCAGCGTAGTTTAGGGCATGATGCCGTAACAGGTTTCATGTACCTATCTGTTTTTCTAAATATCTTTTTCCGTAGCAAACGCGAGTCAAAGCGTCGCCGCCTTTCTTGTGGACAGTCGTGCACCTGTTTGCATGTTTGTGTAAGCACGGTGAGTCATAGAATTTAGGGAATAACGCAGAACGTTAGCAGCATGAATAGAGATATATCTGGGTTGCTGCAGCAGTACTCTTGGCGGGATTTCCACCTTTCGCATTTCGCAATGCTGACCTTGCTTTGGTAGGAGTGGTCACAGCCCGTCCACAGACGAATTTTACTATTTTTTTTACGTGCTGCGTTGTGCTCAGAAGGTCCTATAGGTATTTGATGGTAAAATATATACTGTGGTGTGATGTTTTTTCCACCATATTTGTCCATGAAGATCCCCTTTTAAGCTATTCGTGTAAAATACTTGACGTTTCGAATTCAGCGCGTGGCGCGTGCACGCGATAAGCGCGTGATAATGCCCAGACCACCTTAGTAACAGACCCGCAGGATTTAGGTGCGCCTGACCCGACGCGTGTGCGCTTATATAAGGTCACTGCGTGCCAATGAGGTCCACGCACTTTTGCAAGGAGCGTCCCTTTGTACCTGCTGTCACTATGCCGATGAGACTGAGCATTAGGTATCCGCTGCGCCGGCGTCTCCACGCAAATGTACATATGCGTGTCATCGCACAGACATAACGGAAAGTTGTCGAGATATTGTACATTATCTTATGCCACCTTTTATGGTGACTTCATGCATTTCGAGAGTTACTTAAGAGATATGTGGAAAATTGCCACTCGAACATGATTTACACATGATAGGCAATGACAGGTCAGTGAAAGTTTCGTTTTTTTCTGTCTTCCGGAATGCATGATTTTTTAAAGTTTTTATTTTTGTTTCATAGGCAAATTTGATTCGATCAATATTTATATGAACAGAAAATAAACACTTCAACTGGTTCAACATTCAACAATATAAAACGCAAATTCGAATAAAGTTCAGTGACTCCCTTGGGCTGGGACAATGGCAATGAAAAACAGAACAGAAGCCTCTTGCACCAAAATCAGGCTCTTGCACCAATGCTTGGATTATTTTACATCGTATACCCAGTCCAAGTCTCAAATGTAACAATTAGCGTGCAAAATTTAGCAAACACATGTAGGATTATGTATTGGGCTATTGCAAACAAATTTATCACCGTTAGATTAGCTTATTCTGAGACCGGTTTTTCGATTTTACCTAGCTAGGTAGTTTGGTGCAAGAGGCCTCAGAACTCTAGCAAATAGTGTATGCCCTTATGACCTTAACGCTCGCCCCGTTGAGGGGGGGGGCAATTGGGCCCCCCTGTGGTTTTTCCTAAATAGCAAGAAAACGGCGGCGCGCAGCGGCGCCAAATTCTCAGTACCGTCCCGGGCATCAATTTGACACCTTCAAACAAAATTTCAAGTCTTAGGTCACCTTAGGTCAGGAATTATTGAGGCAAACTGAGGTCATGTTCGAGCAAAAATTAGCAAAAAAACATGCAATCTTGAAACGCTCACCAAATCTACAGTTACCAAGCAATTTCAAAGTTCTTTATATGGTCATGTAGACAAAAAACGGTGCTACAAAACTGCTATCTCGGATTTTCAAAATTATGGTTTTTGACCCCCAAAAATTTATAAAATTGATTTTTTTAAGAAAGAAAAACTAAAAACAAATCCCAAAAAATCCGAATTTCGAAAAAAACGGAATATATGTGATAGTCCCTGCTTTCTTCTATATACATACTGTTAATTCCCTTGAGGGATCTTCTGGTACTGTTAATTATAAATATATAGTTTCTTTATATTTTCTTGTAGTCGGAGTCTTCTTGAGTCATAGAGAAAGAAAGGACATCTTCTACGGGGTTTATTGCTTGAGTGACACTCTCATAGGCGGTATCTTAACGCAGAACATTACCGTTTCAATCGTGGTCACCAGCAATTCCTTATCGTAATATGCACTGTCTACATTATATGAATATTTCTCTTTAATGTTTCACATTTGCTATTTCCTTAATATTTTCCCCCGTTACGAAGTTTTTGTCCTCCTTACTAACTAACTAAAACCTTGACCTTTCTTCAATCAAAATATTTACAACAATTAAAACACTTCGCTCGCGTGATCATTTCCGGGAGCGCTCTCGTTAGAATATTCAACACCCTCCCCTTGAAAGAACTTTCAACATTTACATTCGCAAGGTACCTACGACATGACGTAGTGTAGCAATATACACAGTACTCATACACAGCACTTATTACATTTTCACAAGTTTGGTAATCGGACGCTGCACTGTAACACCTCTGATGTTCAGAGTCACCGATCTCACTAAGCCGTCCTTTGACATCTTGACTGACTCGACCCTACCGATGGGCCATTGGCCCCGTGGCACACTGTCGTCAACCATCAATACCAAATCGCCCACCGCCAGGTTTTGCCTGGCCGTAGCGGTGCTGGTGGACCGCTGCTGGAGCAGTGGAACGTACTCTCGACGCCAGCGCTTCCAGAACACATCTGCCATATAGCTCGCCTGCTTCCACATTTTCCGTTTGTCATTGTCAGATGCAGAGAAGACATTCAAGGGTGTCGTTCCGGAGCTGGCCCCGAGTAAGAGTATGTCGTTTGGAGTGAGGGGCGGAGCGTCGAGGGGGTCACTCGATGGCGAGACCAGAGGCCGGCTGTTCACTATCGCCTCGGCTTCACACAGGAACGTTTGCAGCGTCTCATTCTTCAGTGTTTTCGCGTGGAGCATCGTGTCCAGAATCCGTCTAACTGTTCTAATCATTCGTTCCCAGGCTCCACCATGATGAGACGCTCCTGGAGTGTTGAACTTCCAGTCAATGTCGTTGGCTAGCATCTCCTTTGCCACCCACTCTTCCTTTTCCTCCAGCCGCTTCAGCTCTTCACGTAGTTCTCTGTGGGCTCCAACAAAGTTTGTTGCTCGATCTGATCTCAGGGTCTTGACGTTCCCTCTTCTAGCTACAAATCTTTTCAGCGCACAGATGAACGAGTCCGATGACAGATCCTCAGCCACTTCAATATGTATGCAGCGCACTGATAGGCAGGTGAAAATAACACCATATCGCTTAACTTGTCCTCGACCTTGGCTGACGTAGAAGGGTCCAAAGTAGTCTACCCCAGTTCTTGTAAACG